AAAACCTATCCTTCCTGATTTCCCACTCAAACGACAGAATTCCAAATCCCCAAGAGAAAGAAGACCAACGGGGGGCAATGTTTATAGTGTATATGTGGTAATCTTTCTATATACACCCATGGTCGGGCATTAATATAACTATATACCTTATATGTAAGTAATCTTGCGTATGGGGTAGTTCTTTTCTCCAAAACCCTGCTGTAAAATCACCTTTGAACCCGTCAACTCAACGTAAAACTAAATATGATGCAAACCTCCTCCCACCACAGACCAGCCTCCCAACAGTGCTAATCACAACAAAAAGAAGGTATAGTTCAAAAAAAAGATAGATGTGATAACAAAAAAGGCCCTCCCATTTCGCCTCATCCCTGGGTATATGCAGAACAATATAGGTAACGAAAGATATCCTATATAATTTCCAGGGTACAAGAATCGAAGCTACCTGGGTAGATAGCGACGTCGGTATGGACGGGCGTGGACGTGAGTGGAACGAGACAATCGACACAACGCTCAAGGGACCGGAGCTGCTTATGTGCAGTACATGCACAATAGACGCGGCTATTCAATTCATGCCTCGAGGTCGAGAACGAAAACAACATGCAGGCCATGATAGTTGCAGCATCGCATCCGCGTGGGTTGAGTTTTTTCCATCACAACTTGGGCCACCTGCTCGCCACCCGCTCCCGTAGCGACGTTTTAGGCCCATTATTAGAAGTTATATATCCCTCTTCTACATCTTTATTGGAAGTAAATGAGGGTCCTCCGACACCAGGCTCAATATTAGCTATCGCCTCATCAGATGAATAGGGGCGGGATGGTTGAGGGGGTGGTTCTGGCTTGTCTAACGCATCGAATCTGCGATGCTGCCGTTTTGCTAGGAGGTAGTGGTAGCTCAATCGGAGAAGTAGCGCGCCCATTCCGAATAAGGTGCCTCCAAGAGGGGCGGCAACGAATGCGCCTGTGTGGACAGCGTTAATAGTCACAGACTTCACCATGCGATTATCAAGCAATTGGTAGAAGCGGGGTATACGATGTGGGGCCACAAAACATACCAAAGGCACTCCAGTCTTCGGCATAAAGACCATTTCCCAAAAGAATCAATTTAGCGCCCGCATGCGCGTCGCCGAAATAAATCGTCCCGAAAATGAAGACGGACAAGATACCGCCCAACCCTCCGACAACGACCTCGAAGCCCGTCCACCAATACATTTTATCCCATAGCCCGAACACCAGCACAGGAATGGAGGACGCAGACACGAGATCTGATATCAAGAAAATCTGCAGCACGCTGGGAGACTTGAGCGCAACAACCACCACGGGGATAATAGACAAAACCACGAGAATGCGCACATATATCAGCGGCAGGCGGTTGCGGAAGAGATCATTACTCCCTGTACTGACCATGGCGGACTGTAAGCTGTCAAAAGCAGCAGTGCTAAGCGAGACTGTCATGACGAGCACGATACCGACGACCCAGCCAGGAAGCTGCTCGAGGAGCAAGAAGAAGGCGATTGAGCCCAACTGGGGTGGGTCACCTGGCCACGCGCCAGACCACGCAGCGAGCAATCCCGTCACACCGACCAGTGTGAGAATGCAGAAGACAGCGCCGCTGGCAAGAGATACACCGATGCGTAGGTCCCGATCGGTCTTAGAGGCGAAAGTACGCAGCCAGAAGTTCGATAGGAAGAAATCGTTGGTCAAGATGGCTACGGGCAGGATGTATATCAACTGCCAACCGAGGAGCGACGGTCCCAAGAGGCCAGATGAATCGATTAGCGACTTGTCGATATGGACCTCGGTGCCGACGGTGATGACTGCAATGACGATAAGGCCTACCACCATTGCTCCTTGTACATTGTCGGTGACGAATGACACTTTGAAGCCGCCTAGGGATGTGTAGACTGTCGTCACGACGACTTCAACTATCACCACTGGCAATCCGTTCAGGCCGGTAAGCGCATTGATTATCTGTTGTAACGCAGAGAGTTCCGCAACCATATAAAGGAACAATGTAATCAATCTATTCATAATAAAGTTAGATTTTCCCATCCAAGCTTAAATCAAACAGGACTGGGAATGGGACCTAAAAACATACGTCAGTATGCTCAGGTATATCCCGGCGACAATACCATATCTCTGTCTCGCCCATTCAGTCAGGACAAAACCCTCAGGGCATTTTCGGCGAATTATCGGGCCCAAATATCCAAAAACTAGGAGAGGCAGTGCCGAAGCCAACCCATAAACAACTAATCCCTGGACGCCGGCAATAGTTGCGATTTCAGGATATGTAAATAAAATCCCGGATCCAAGAGCTGTAATAAGCAAAAAGGAAAAACGAGGTAGAGGATACCTAGAGTTAGCTTGTCCACAGAGTTCAAACACGAGCAAAGGGGAGAGTATGAAGGGACAGAGAAGCGGCAGCACATTTCCCACGCAAGCATTAACTTGGTCGAGTGTTCCACGGTACAATCTCAGCATCATGCCTGCGCTGGTATACCCCGATAATCTCTCCGTGCGTTTAAAAGAAAACCAAGTGCGAGCGAGAGCAAGCCATTGTCCCCGGAGGTGGATTATCAAGCGTATCCAATGCTGCAATCAGCGCCCGTAGTGAAGCCGCAGCAGATGCTGCTCTGGACTCACCGTTTCCGGAAGAATGGGAGGGGAGTTTTTGGATATATATGCAATCTTGGGAGGGGCCTACAAGCAGGTCGACCCGACACAACATATATATATATCTATATATATATAGTAATGTGGTAACTGCCATATTTTCCTTCCCAACCCCTCCCCCTCCTGCCCTGCAAGCCCAGAACAGCATCCACTGAACTGAACTTCTCGAATACGAACCTTTCTCTATGGCTGGAGATGGGAAACATCATTCAAAAA